CTTTGGTGGTCATGTGTCACGTCCTATGTTCCTCTAGTGACCTTAGAAGTCTTTGCATTTGTTCCAATAGGTACACCTTCAACACAGACATGCAAAACTGCACCAGTTGTTTGCAGCGGTTCAGGGGAGTAAAGCTGGGATTTGGCAAATACAAATAGATTGACTCAAATCATAAAATGGAAGGTGAGATGGGAGATCATAGATTCAAGAACAGTTTTGCAGAGTTGTGAGAACAAAATAAAAAAAAAACCTCATATTTGAGTCTGGCAGCAATCAAGACAGATCCCATGGGAAAGAATGAAATTTTTCAACAGTTAAGAAAGTGATGGTGCACTGTGTTAACATGCATTTTTTTAATAGAGATGATTAATTGTGCTCTACGTTTTAATAACATTGTAATATTTACAGTTCTGTTTTCTGAGTGTTTCCCTACAGTTTGATTAACTGCTGGTAGACATCTCAGCCTTTACTGACCTCAGATTTTTCTAAGCCTCTTCTATATCTTGTTAACATATTTTAATATTACTGACGAAAAGAGGACCATAAAACAGAAAACAAACAAAACGAAGAAAACAAACCTGCAGCATTTTAACATTTAGATTTTGTCATAAAGAAGGTAAACATTTTTATCACCATATATTGCAGATTGACTTTGTAACAAGCATTAACTGTTATATTACTGGGACTCAATTGCAGGACTTTATAATCAGTTTTTAATTTGGTGTTCGTGCTGTGTTTGTTATGTTGCTGCATGAATTAACAACTTCACCTCCCTTCCTTAGTAAGGAATGGTTTCCCAGTTCATCTTTAACTACCTCCTGTGTAAGGGGCATGCCTACCTTTTTCAGTGATCCTATAAAGCTGTATCAGTGCTTATGAATTTAACACAGGCGTATAAAATGCTATATAACAACTTAGCACGTATTCATGGGCACAAAACTTTTCTTCATTAGCTATTTTACAGAAAACCCTCTGTAAGTTTTATCCAAACTCAACTGAATTTTCCTCAAGAGATGCCAGTGATTTGTCACTCAAAGCTGGCACCTGAAAGTCTAGTTATTATAGAAGCATATGGCAGTAATAGAAAGTTTGGCTTTCTGGGAAGTCACACCAAACAGAAAGACAATCAGCCCTTCTTCCCAGAAACACACAGTGCTTCCTTTTATAGGACAGACAAAACCAGTTACAAAACATTTCTGTTCCAGTGCAGAATAAAATCTTTCTCCTTATGCTGAACCAGCATAAGTGTACAACACTTTTTGCCAACCAATGGGTTGATCAAAATCCTGTAAAATTAAGAATTCATACATAATTCATGACTGCACTTTACATACAAATTGCTTTTTCCTCCAAGTGATACACTAATCTAAAAGAAATAAAAAATTAAAAGAGGTACTTAGCAGTGAGCAACAAAACACTGCTATAGTATTTTTAATATACCGGCTTTTTTACTGTTATCATTTACTGCAGACTGATCGGTTTGCTGTGCACACAATCAGTGCAGGAACCAGCTTGAGTCAGCTGACTGATTTGTAATCTGAGCAACAACAGTACAACAGTACAAAACATTAGCACTTCTGCCATCAATCGTATGAGGTCTCTCTGAAGGCATATACATATGTGCATACATATACACACACGTGCAGCTTGCTCCAAAAGTAATCCCTCCTCTTTATTCTCATAAAAACTACAACTGATACAAGGAGCGCAATAAGACTATTTGATAAAGGAAACTCTCAGCTACAAATCACTCCTTCTCAACACAGTCACACCATTAGTTCTGCATTTGCAGCAGTGACGAACAGAGCCTGCATGCCATGCTTTTATAAGTCTGCACCAGTGGAAGAGACCCACTGTGGCCGCTGCTGAAAAGCACCACCCATCACCTCACTGTGCTCACACCCACTGGTTGGACTCCATAAATGTTCACAAGTATCAGTGAATGTCAATGGGTGTAATTTTTTCCACACAGAGGAATTCAGTGACACAACTTTGCTCTATATACAATTCCATGCCAGATGCTATGCTGTCAGACTGCCCCTCTGCTGCCAGCTCAGAAACATGTACCTACAACAAGTTTCCAGCAGAACTATGACCTGATTTATCATTACTTAAAATGGCAGCAAAATTCTAAGGAAGCAGTACTTAGTTCCGACTGGGAATCCATCATTCTGTTGCATCACTGTATGTACTACTGGTATATGAAACAGAGTTTTAATTAAACTTGATTTATTCAGCCTTTCCAAGATGCTCCAAATTACACCTTGCTGAGGAATGGATTTAGCATGAAGTAAGTTTTTACTGCCTAATGGTTGGTGGAAACAGATCAGAGATGTGTAGGAATCAAGGAGTCACCCCTGTAGGACAAATTGATGAAGAAACCATTGGTATCGATGGATCACATCCACAAGATTCATACAATAATAAAAATTAATTTCTGTATGTAAGTACACACAAGTTAATATGATTGTGATTAGCAGCCAAACAGAAAAATGGCACTACTTCTCAAGGATCAGAATTCTTGAGATTGTTTCATGAAATCATAGCAGGAAATTTTATTCTGTGATACAAGTTATTTACAAATAAATTCATTTGAAGTCAAAAATATAGAATTATGATTTTGTATGTAACAGTTACAAATAAATGCCTTTTCTAAGAAACAAGTACACAAAAATTAGATTTTCCTGTTTACAGGGAATGTGAAATGGCCATATCAATTTAATATCAAAAATAAAGGTCTTCAAAGTAGTCTAATTTACCACACTCTACCAAATATTATGCCAAATATTTAAAAAAACAACACTGTCAGGAAAAAAACTCCATTTTCTTTATTTCAGTTATGACACAACACAAAAACAGTGGAAAAGAGGAACATAATTAAACAACCACCAGTATAAAAACCCTGGTATTTGACACTTATAGGCACTTTCAAAACTCTGAAAATAAGAAAGTTCAACTGTTTATTCCAAAACAAACAAAAAACCACATCAACAATATGTTTAGCAAACAGCTTTCTAAAGCCTAGCCACACTTTTAACCTTCTCAAAATGAATTGTTATTTAATTTAACTAGAACATTTGCATTATTATGACTTGGACCCAAGGAGAAACAAGCACCTCAGATCACATGGGAGAATGCTAAAGGATGTCACACCACTCCAAAAAGAGTACTTCTAATAAAAAAAAAAATGGACAAATCAAGTTTCTCAACTAAAAAGATAATTAAATAATTATAACTGTTGGTTACGGCAAATAATTAAAACAGTTGGTTATTTTCCAGCCATGAAGATACAAAGAACTCACTTCTTCTATTTTGCCCTGAGGGCACCAGGTTCTTCATGGCGGAGCTCCATACATACTGTGCCTCCTTGAAGATATAACCATGCACAGAAACAGCTGGGTGCTCAGGGAAGCATCAAACCAATTCATTTGTGCTGCAGTTCGTTTGTGCTGGGCATGAAGCAACACACCAAAGGCAACAGAAACAGTGAACAATATCATAAGAGTCTGAATAAGGAATGTCATACACCCAGCCCTGTACACTTCAGCACTGAAGAGAACAGAGCATTAGAAGGTAAAGGGGCCCACTGGAAAGGAAGAGGTGGTTGACACTCAAGCACCACTTCCTCCAACCTCAATGTAAGTGCATCTGCAAGAGCAAGAAATCAGGCAAAGGTGGCAGAAGGCCTGCATGAATTAGCTAGGAGCTCATGGAAAAACTCAGAAAAATGAAAAAGTTTACAGAATGTGAAAAAGGGGTCTGACCACTTGAGAGGAATATAGGTACATTGTCAGAGCATGTAGGGATCCAACAAGGAAGGCTATGGCCCATTTGGAATTAAATCTTGCAAAGAAGGTGAAGGGCAAAAGAGAGGCTTCATTAAGTTTATCAATAGCAAAAGGAGGATTACAGAGAATGTGGGCCTGCTACTGAATGAGATGGGTGCCCTTCTAATGGAGGACAATGAGAAGGCAGTTACTGAATGCCTTCTTTGCTTTCATCTTTACTACTGACTGCCCCTCAGGAATCCCAGACTCTGGAGACAAGAGAGGGAGTCTGGTGAAAGGAAGACTTCTCATTTGTCAGGGAGAATCTAGTCAGAGATTGTCTAGGTCTCTGGGAAGACTGCACTGCAACCTTCCATTGCTAGAAGGGAGCTTATAAGCAAAGGGGGACCAACTTTTTACACTTCCTGATAGTGAAGGGAGAATTTAAACTAAAAAGGGAAGATTTAGCTTAGATGTTAGGAAGAAATTTTTTGCACATGGGGTGGTGAGGTACTGGCACAGCTGCCCAGAGAGGCTGTCGATGCCCCATCCCTGGAGAAATTCAAGGTGAGGTTGGATGGGATCCCAGGCAACCTGATCTGCTGGCTGGCCACCCTATCCACAGGGTGTTAGAACTAGATGATACTTAAGGTCCCCTCCAATCTAAGCCACTCTATGGTTCTATGATTCTAGGCAGAATCAACACACACAAATCCACTAGCTCCCAAGGGATGCACTCATGAGTGGTGAGGGAGCTGACAGAGGTGGTTGCTGAACCACTCTCAGTCGCCTCTGAAAGGTTATGGAGAATAGGAGAGGTATCTGAGGACAGGAGGAAATCCAGTGTCACTCTAACCTTCAAAAATGGCAAGAAGAAAGACTAAGGAAAAGATCTGATTAATGCTTACAAATATCTAAATGGTAGATATCAAAAGGTTGGGGCCAGGCTCTTTACAGTCGCACCCAGCAAGGGGGTCATGGGCATAAACTGGAACACAGCAAGTTCCATATGAACATGAGGAAAAACCTCTTCACTTTGAGGGCTACAGAACACTAGAACGGGCTACCCAGAAAGGCAGTGGAGTCTCTTTCTCTGAAGATATTCAAAACACTCCTGGAGACTTGGCTGTGCAAAAACCAACTGCAGAGAACCTGCTTTAGCAGGGTGGTTGGACTAGATGATCTCCTTAGGTTCATTCCAACCCCTACAACTATATGAATAAACACAACATCTTTCAAAAGACAGTGAGAATTTATTGTAAACAATCTTAGGGCTGTTTTTTTACATCACCAGCCTTCATTAGAGCCTTAATAGCTCTGGCTCTCATTTCAAGCTCAAGGAGCTCTAGCTGCTGTGCTGATGGCTGAACATCTTCTAATGGAGGAACAGCTAAGCTTGCTGCTTTAGACTCCTTTGAACTAGATTCTGCCAACCCCAGTATCTCATTCACACTTTTCTCAATGTCCTTCTGAAGGTCATCAATCTGACCAGCTCCACTTCTGACAGTGTCTTCTTGTACATCTGGGCTGCCTTCTTCATCACACGGACCCTCTATGTCACTATCATATGCATCTGCATTTATGCTGAGGACATCACTATCTTCTCCTTTGCCTGCAACACAAATGCAACAATTGTAGTCAGTCAGCCAACTGCAATTCTTCTTTCCCCATTAAAAAAAAAAAATCAATTCTGCTCAAAACACTCCTTATGGAGCATATAAAAGGCAACAAAAAAATCTATGAATTTGAGACAACTAATTCCCTTTGTTTTTCTTACTCATCTTTAAAAGCTGATTTAATTTGGACACATGTAAATTCATTTTTATGCCAATTTAAAAGAACGTACAGTATAGCAACGCTGCAGTACTAGGAAAATGTATTCCATTGTATGGATGGATTTTCCCAATTAAAATGCCACAAGGTTTTATTATCACAACAAAGCAGAACTGATTATTGTTTGTTTTCTTTAAAGAAAGATTAGTTTTCAAAATGCAGTTTTAAAAATAACATTTAAGAACTACTTTATATAGTCTAAAAGGAATTATACACTATGTCAAGAAAAGTACTGAAAGTTCATAGAAACTCCTACTACAGTATATCAATTCAAAATCTACTACAGAATTTCAAACATATTTAACTTAGATCAGTAAAAACATAGGAAAAGCCATGGTATTCACTTTTAATGTCAGCTAAAAGATGTAGTTCATTAAGAAAATGAATTAGAAGAGGCCGTGCAATAAAATAAAAGATAAAATAAAAGCCAAACTCAGTCAAAGTGTAACTGATCTCAGAATTTGGCTATAGAGAAACTATTGCTTCTGATTCTTTGGCCTCAGAAATTATTAGTCTGATGCCAAGATTTGAATCTTTGAAAAACTACTGTTCACTACTTCAAATAAAAATCATATAGCCAGATGATGATAATGAGTGATTCTAAAGGCTTTTTAATTGCACAAAGGCACAGCTGTGTTCCCTCTTAATGAATAATGGGGATTTAGGCTCATATTTTTGAAATATATATAATTTACCATGAATATTCTAGGAAAGCTTTCATTCCTGTATAAACTACTGTAATCTCTAATGACTTATATGCAGCAAAAAATTACTTATTAAGTATTTAGACAGTATTGCAAACCTGGCTGTAAAAATTTCTCAGCTCAGTAGTGCACACTGGCAACATTAACAGCAATGGGCAAATAGTAAAACACATTAAATTCCACATAAATAATAAAAAAAAAAAAAAAAAAAAAAAAAAAAAAAAAAAAAAAAAAAAAGTTGTGTTCAACTTGAGGGTAGCTAAACAGTGACACAGGTTGCCTGAAATAGTCATGGAGACTCCTGCCATGGACATATTCAAAGCCCATCTGCATACAATCCTGGGCAATCTGCTCTGGCAGCAGGAGGATTGGGTGCAGATGATTTCAAAAGGTCGCTTCTCTAAACCACTCAGTGACTCTGTGATCATTAAAACTAATGTCTCCACATCTGGCTTTAAACAGTTGTCTTTCACCTAACTCTTAGTTTGGAGAAGAGCTTGTGGTTGAGATTGCTAGTTTAATCCATCTGTAAATTTGGTTCCTGAACCCTCCATCTATCTGTAGGGCTAGAAGAATCATTGATTTGTACTCATCATATATCAACAATGAAACTACTAACATACACAAAAACCAAGCAAGTGATCCCTCTGTGATTGCTGCCTTCAAATATCAGGCAATGATAATTTTTTAATAATCTGAGTATTACTAACACTGATAATATAGGCATTTAAATCATTCAACTGCACCCGAAGTCCCATCTCAATGAAGATGTTTGTGGAGAGAGTAGTCAGCTTGAGCTTGCAGGAGTTGTGTGAGGGCAGCACAGCAGGCAGCAGTCACATGAGTGAGGCAGACATCTCCAGCTGCTCTCACCTGCTTCTGGAACCAGCATGTGGTTTTCTGCACATGAAGGTAAGAGCCCTCACAGAAGGTGTCGAGGAGGCTGCCTCCTGTTTCCCCCTCAGCTCATCCTGAGGATGGTGGAGAAAGCAGAGCACATACCCCAGCAGCTGGTCTCTTGCAACAGGTGCACTCCAGTTCCACATGCAGGCAAGACATCTTTGCTGGCACCTCCTCTGTATCATCCAGCTCCAGGTGGAAGGTGTGCTCAGAAAAGGCCTCAGGGGCACAAGTAGGAGGTAGAGAACGTTTTCCCCACGGGCACTCCATCTTTTGTAGGCATAGGCCACTCCAACGGCCCTCTGCAGCTGGGATGTGAAGCTATGGGGGCTGTGTCTGTGACAGGTCCAAAGACGACCACCCACCAGCACTTCTACTAGACAGCACGTGTCAGCCCTGTATGGTGCCAGCCACTGGGTGCTCTCTGGTAGCATTACATGTTTCCTCAGGTGTTATGGCCTGGACACATCAAGCATCTAGAATTTTTATGTGGAGACAGGAGCTGGATTCAGCGATCCTTGATGGTCCCTGTGAAATTGGGATTCTCTATGAAATAAAGAACCCTGGGGCTGACTTTGGCCACTCCAGTATCCTTGGACTGTGCTTCTGCCCAGCCCTCCAACCACAAGGGGCAGCTGATGGCACCCTACTCCTTACATACCAATTTGGAACACGTCAAAATATTCTCAATAAAAGGGTGAACTAACATCATTTACAGACCAAGTTTCACGTTACTGCATAGAGACAGACCAAATGAAAATAAGATGACAGAAATACTCAGTGTGTCAACTACAAACTAATATGGGTAGCTGTTACATGGTGTTCATTAAATGACTGGAATAGTACTGCTGCTGATCAAGGAAACTGTTTCCTTACACAATAGGTACCTAAGCGTGTATCACTAATTTACCCACTTTTGCACTTTCTATTCTGCCAATCAACATAGTGCCTGACTGTCTCTCCCACTGCATTTTTACATTTAAAAAGGAAAAAAAATATAGGATCATACCTCAAAAAGATGAAAATTAAGGATGCTTTCATGCATCAAAGATTCTTTCAGAAGGATGGTGTCATGGTAGAACATGACTGCTATTTGCAATAATGAGGCAACAGCGTTTCATCATGGCAGAGACCACTGAAGGCAGAACAGAATGGTCCCAAAACCTCTGTAAATTTTACATTTGGGGGCTATGGGAAGGAGAAATTATAGTTTAGAGATTCTAGATTTAGAATTGCCACCTGTATAATCTTTACAGGTGTTTGCTTCCTGCCAGGGACAAACATCAGAGACATCAATAATAGGTTAATCAGGCCCGATAAACAGGTTGACCACTATCCACTCCTTCTCATTCAAATTGGGTCTCAGATGGTTGTAACAAGGAAACCACAAAACATTAAAAGAGACTTTACATCCCTTGGAAGGGCACTGAAGGAAGTAGGAATGTAAGCAATGTTTCTCATCTGCCCTCTCCTTTTGAGTCTGGGACCCAAGAAGAAGGAAGAAAATGGGTCGAGTAAATGACCAGCTGCATAAGTGGTGTCACAATCAGAGATTCAGTTTCTACAATCTTGGACAGGCCTCTGAGAGACCAAAAACGTGAACTCAGATAGGACAAAAATTGAGCAGGAAGACAAGAATGTTCCGGGAAGAAAGCCAGCTGGACTGATTAATAGGACTTTAAAGTAGATTTGATGAGAGAAGGTGACGGAATTCTATGTGACCAAGAAGGGAATGTTGTCACTTTAGCAAACAGTGGGGAAAAAACCTCAGAATTGTCTCAAAGGATCTGATGAGGGCTCCTCTGAGAAGGTAACACTGCCGATAGCCTGTCTTAAGTGCATCTACATGCAGCCTGGAAAATACGCAGGAAGAGCTGGAAACCACAGCAAAATTAGAATACTATGATCTAACTGTGATTACAGAAATGTGGTGGGATGATTCCTGTGATTGAAGAATGGCAATCAAGGGCTATAAGATTTTCAGAAGTGACAGACAGAGAAAGAGGGTCAAGGGAATTGATCTCTATGTTAAAAAGTGGATAGAGTGCAAAAAGCTGCCTTTGAGAAATTGTCATGAGCAAGTTGAGAGTTTGTGGGTGAAAATTAGGGATGAGACCAACAAAGAACATTTGGCAGCCAGAGTCTACCACATGCCAGCTGAGCAAGGGGAGCCTATGGATGAGCCTTCTTGCTTCATGCCAGGCTGCAAACAATCCACGACATTTCTGGAATGCACAAAGGACAACTTCCTGGTCCATATATTAGACAAACCAACCAGAAAAGAAGTGTTACTGGACCTGGGGCTCTCACCAAGGAAGAGGAGCTCATTAAAGAGGTTAAGACTGGGGCTATAGTGATTATGCTCTGGCAGAACAATTTACTGGGTGAAATCCCCTGGGAAGCTGTCCTTGCATAAAAAGGAGAGGAGAAGAACTAGCAACTCTTTGAAGATGCCTTTATGAGAACATAAGAGCTCTTTGTCCCATGGTATAGGAAAACAAGCAGAGGAGGCAGGAAACTGGCATAGCTAAACAAGGATCCACTGGTCAAATTGAGGGAAAAGGACATATGTAGGGAGTGGAAGCAGGGACTTGCGACCTAGGAAGAATACAGGGATGCTGACTGGACATGTAGAGATGGGATCAGGAAAGCCAAGGTGCACAATGAACTGACTTGACACGGGATATGAAAAACAAGAAGGGGTTCTACAGGTACATTGTTCAGAACAGACAGACCAAGGAAAGCATACCCCCTCTGATAAATGAGAAGAGAAAATTGGCTAGAACAGACATGGAGAAAGTATAGAGAAGGATATGCAAAACAAAGCTTTCCCTCTGAGAGATCTGAAGATCTGAGCACTTCTGAAGGCAATGACTTCAAGTAAAACACAGCAATCACCACTCCTCATGACTGCTAAGCAGCATTTCCATAGAACTCAGCCCGGCATAATCATTCAAAGTATCAAAAAGACTGAACGTGATTAAGTTACAAGCAGTTCTTCAGCAGTTATCATCTTCTTCTGTGAATGTCAAAACAGAGTAATGGAGTCTCACAAAACAAAGTAAAACCAACTATCAAACTGAATAGATGGTAAAAGCAGGATTAGCCCCCCCCACATATAAAAAAAATTGAAATAAACCAAGTTCCTCTTCAGCTGAAACACTAGATATGAAGAGTCAAATGAGCCTTGCAAAAGCATTCAGCCATTTTCTGGAAGCCAAACTATCAAATTCTGAAAACCTGTGGTTTGTTTCTAGCCAGAAAAAATATTTTAATATCTTCTCAATCTTACAGAACTGAGAAGACAAATTTTCTACTCTACATACCTTGTTTTGATTCCTGACCTTCCAGCTTGTCTTCTCTCAAAGAAGAAGTGGAGTCTATGCTGTTGTCCTGCCTGGAAGCAAAAGAGAAGACATTTCAATCTATGTTTTTCACAATGTACAGAGTACTTTTCAAAGAAACATTAACTAAAGAAATTACATGGTGAAAAAGCACCCAGCTCTTCTAAGCACTTGAAAATGAGCTATCCCTTGTGCCTACTGAGCTGCAAGGATGAAGTAACTATTTTCAGTATACTGTCTTGCACAATACCAATTCTCACTGATTGTGTCTCCCTAACCATAGAAGTTTGTCTGTAAAATTCAGCATAAAATGTCAGAGTTAAATAATTTGAAAAACTATAGTTTCAGTTGCATTCGGATCATATTTACTCTCTTCATTTGAATTAAGAAGCTGTTTTCACTAAGTTATTGTCACCCCCACCACCACCCACCTTTTCTGTATTACAGTATCACTTTTTCACTAAGGGCTGCTTCTTAAAAGGAATGAAATGAAATTCAATTGCTAAGTAATATTCAATATACATGTTTATTTCTTCAATTTACTGATTTTTGCTCATGACCTGCAAGGTTACACATGCTTTATGCATGGGACAAGGAAGAGAGACACCTGTGTGAAGTGTTCACATTCTTCACACATTCTGTACATACTCAGACAAAATGAAAATAGTGAAATACACAGAGAGAGAATGAAGGGCAGCCCTCAACAAAGGACTCCGAATCACAGAAGTAGTTCAGTTGCCATGTTCATTGAGCATTTTGGCAGTAAAAGTGCCGATTTTCTACCACGAATGTCAGCGTGGCTTTGGTTTCAGACAAATGCAACCATTCCACCTGCTGGATCTAAATAGCACTATAGAAAAGACAGGAAGATCTTGGTATCATAGATTTAAACGTAATGACTTCAAAAACTTTTCAGTAATACCCAGTAGACTGTCCCATAACTGGAAAAAAAAACTGTTTTCCACATGCTGTCAAAGATGGTTTTTCTTTCAGGTGTCCAGTGAGCAAGTCAAACAAAAAAGAGAGTACCATAGAAGTTCTTGCCAACAGGGTCTGAGATACTGCTATTTTGATAGCTATTTCCTTTCCTACGTTAGTAGAGGTTAAAAGTCAACAGATTCACTGCTTCTCCCTTGTCTCCCTTGTTTTCACCCAAAACAACTAAAATGTGTGTGGAATAGTGCAGTTATTAAGGGGAACGTGCCTATTAAAAAAAAAAAAGTTACAAAACACCTGAAGAAAGATCCCTAGAAGTTCTGCACCTTAATTAAGAACCCCTCAAAAGAAATTCACTGCTCAATGTCATTATAATAAAATAGGAAAAAACTATTTACCGTGATACATCTCAGTAGTATGTGTCCTTTAAGTTCACTTTCCTACTTAGTGCAAAAAGTATTCTCTTAGTCCTTTCACTTCCTCGGGCCTAGGCAAGGCTGGAAAAGAAAGGCTCAATGCAAACTAAATGTTCAAACGCCAAACAGGAAGTTGTATATGCATGGCAATTCCTTTACAAAATAATTTAAACTTTTCCTCTTTACAAGGAAAGTTTGCTCATTTATTTTCTATCCAAATCATCATCTTTTACCACAAAAGCCACAGGTGTTACAAGATGGCTTAAAGCCCTCACCAGCTAGAAGTAAGATAAGTCCAGAAATTCTACAAATAAATCAGGTTTGCTGTATGCAATGGTCTAGCAAGTCCATGCATATTACTATGGGGAAAACAACCTTTCCAGCATCAGCTTTAGCCAGCAGCTCAGAACCTAAGCCCCAGTGGTCCTGTTTTTTAAGGCCAGATGTTAGCAAAGATCACCAGTTAAACCTTTCCAAGACACTATCAGAGTACACTTTCCCATAAATTTCAGGTTTTTTGTTCTCCTATCACTTTCTGAGCTCATCACACTCAACTCCTGATTGTCTCTCTGTCCACTAGCTTATGCTTTTAACAGTAAGTTGCCATAAAGATCCAGTAAGAACAATGGCAAGCAGACAAAAAACATGATCTACACAGATGGATCACCTTGTTTGAATCACTTCTAGAGTTGTCAGAGGAAAGCAATCAGACAATCTACCAGGAAAGAAACCTGATAAGAGTAAGAGCACCTTGCAGCCTGAAGTGAGGTTCTGCCTGCAGCAGCAAGGGGTTCGTACACGTTGCTAGGGAAGAACATTTCAAGACTGCGTAAAACTTACAGCAGCACATGTTTAAGGGGACTGTGCAGGCCATTTCACAATGTTTGGAGAAAAGATCAAAGGTAGGAAAAGAGAGAGATGAGGGAAGGTTGGACAAGAACAAGCACATAGAAAATAGTGGTGAAAAGGTGAAATGGCCAGGTGATAATCAGCTGATTTCTGGGCAGTACATACATCTTGCACCTGATCAAGCCTACTCTGCCCCCTTGCTGAATTCCAGTGCCAACCATTTTCCCAAGTAGCAGGAGTCTACTGTCTGTACATCTAACTGCCACCAACTGCATGGAGGACTACACCTGACAAGGACCTGCAGAATTGTACTGCCATAAAATATAATGAAAAACATGCATACAGTACCTCAAGCTAGTCTAGCTATCAAGTAGGATGAGATATTTGAGAGTCACAATACCAAAGAGACTACAAGATTAAAGGCCAAATTCCTGAGAGAGAGACCAGAGTCTGCAAGCACTCAAACTGAGGGCCCACAGCCCTGATAGAAACCCAAGAGATTAACAGCCTAAGAGTCAGCTACTGGGGACAGCACAGGTCTGGATGAGCTGCTGAAAAGCTCTCCATGTATGCAAAGAGTGCTGAGCAGCAATAGAAGTGGGGCTGCAAACCTTGAAACTTGCATAGTCAGCAGCTAGAGGAACATGGGGATTGTTATAGGCCTGCCTCTGGGGGGATCCATTTCTTTTTTTAAAGCAACTCCTAACAGGTTCTTTTTTTTTTTTTTTTTAGTCACTCAATTCCCAACCAAAATAAGGTTGTGATGGCCCCATAACACCAGCTCATCACTAAGAGCTGTTCAGACTCCATCCTCCCTTGCACATTCTTCATTCGTTTGAACTATTTTGTCACCTCTCTGCTGAATAGCAATGTGTTACGTGGAAAGTCTGAGCTTGCACAAAAAGTTTTCATGAGGAACAAAAGCAAGAGATTTCGCATCTGATATCACCCAGAGCTCTGAAGCCAAATTTCACTGAGGAAGTAAAATCACTCATTTCCCAGAAAACAGTGACCTCTATGGGTTTGAACAACTGCTTGAACTTACCTATACCCATTTGAACAGCTACATAAAAAGAAGTAATAAAATGGAAAACACACATCAAAAACTGTTGTAAAGTTTCTTCCTGTTGTCTTGACAGGATCACTGATTATGGCAGAAGCATATTCTTACACAGACTACTGTCATTAAAAAACTCTGGATCCCTACAGTGCTTTCACAGTACATTTTGTGTTTTTTTGTTTTTTGTTGTTTTTAATTTCCCAGAGTTGGCTGGACTGGACTGATAGTGAACTGTTACTGTCATCATTTAATAGGTAAGCATTCCACACCATTTTGTGGCCAGTCAGCATCAGTTCATTTCACAGTTCAATTTCATTCTCAGTTTGTTAATCTTGCTTACTTACAATATCTTGGCTTATTTACAATATCTTTCCTAATAATCTATTCTGGGGCACATGTTTAAGGGCAGCACAATACCATGCCTCCACTAATGTTAGCAGAGGATATGCTGATCTAAAAGTAAGGCATAGCAAATAAATTTAAAATCCCCTTCTTTCATGCACATTAGATGTTTCAAAGCAAAATATTGTTTGCTCATATTATACACATTAACATACGATCACTGTAAATTATAGTAATAAGTTTCTTTGTTTAGTATGTTTTATTGCTACTGTCAATAATCTGAATGTTATATCTATTTTGCAGTATTTTTGAATTAGATTAAAAAAAAATCATAACATTTCTTCAGACCTCAAACTCCTGAACATTTTCAATGGTTTCTTTAGCCAACAAGGTTGTCTTTCCATTTAATTCCAAAGTTCACTGGCAAAACATGAATCATCAGTAAAGAGATAAATACATTTAAATTACTTACATAAATAGCATTCTGTTTTTATAGTTAATATTTTCAATAGCCAGCAAAGGGTTAAAGACCAAAAGATAAAAATAGTCTCACTAAAGGAGTGAATTGACAGCATTCACAAACCATGTAAAAACAGCAAAGCAGGGAACACAGTCTCAAATCAGTTCCAAATGAAACTTCAGATGAAACAGATTTATGATGTATTAAATCACAGGAAAAATACTGAAAATTCACTTCTCTTAGTATCACTCAATTTTCTAAAAATCTGGTGTGTGATGAAATATGATCAAAGGAAACAATTTTAATGACTTTATAACTTGTTCTGAACAAAAATGTGAGGCTTCTATTGAATCAAAACTACTGACTGGACATGAAATTTGAAGTATCATCATTATCTTTCCCAAATCTGTTTCTATTCAGTAAATTTGGATGAACTTACCAAGCCAGCAACTAACAAGTACCTTAACAAGCTGACACTGATATTAAGACCACAGTCTCAAGGGATTTATTAAGTTTGTGTACTGAATGTGTGTACCATCCTTACAAAGATGATCAGGTGACTGGAGCACCTCCCCTGTGAAGACAAACTGAGGGAGCTGGGCTTGTTCAGCCTGGAGAAAGGAAGGCTGTGGGGTGACCTCAATCCAGCCTTTCAATACCTAAAGGGAGCCTACAAACAGGAGGGGAATCTACTCTTTGAAAAGCAGGACAAGGGGAAATGGTTTTAAGTTGAGGAAGGGAAGATTTAAGTTGGATGTCAGGGGGAAGTTCTTTACAGAGAGAGTGGTGATGTGCTGGAACAGGCTGCCAAAAGAGGCTGTGGATGCCCTGTCCCTGGAGATGTTCAAGGCCAGATTGGATGGGGCCCTGGGCAGCCTGATCTAGTATTAAAGGTGGAGGTTGGTGGCCCTGCATGTGGCAGGGGGCTGGAGATTCACGATCCTTGAAGTCCCTTCCAACCCTGGCCATTCTGTGATTCTGTGATTAGCTGTAAACAAGTCAGCAATCAAAACAGAAAAACTTCTAGTTTTCCTACATGATTATTGTTTTGACTTCTACAGATTCCTACCAACTTAGATTTCTAGAATTTGATACATTGTGGGTGACAACTACTAACACTCTTTTCTCCTTGACTACTTTTTTTAGAAATTGCCAGAAAGAGGTTACTCTTTCAATACAAAAGTCACTTAGTAACATACTATGCAAGACTTGTGTCCTTAAAAACAAATAAGTATTTTCTAAAAAAGGTTAAAAACAAACAAACAAAAAAATTGGCCTTTGCAAAACTGCAGATGCCAGCCTAAGAATGAGCAACTACAAACCTCAGTACTTGAAACTCCAGACATTATGCTACATCCGCAACAGGAACACGGGAACAGTTAAGTGTCAGTGCCACTCCAACTGGGAGAGGAATGAAGGACCAGAAATAAGGATGGAAGGAAAACAATACATTTCAGACCAAAACTCTTTACAAGAAGTTCATGGATTTCAGTGGGAAGGGTTTATTCAATCCACTGTAGTTCAACTGAAGAATGTTAACATAAATCACACAATCTACTTTTGCAGTATATGTTCAGTTATCACAGCTCAACTGATGGGAAATAATGCCAGTGTGAAACTCATTTACCTAACATTATCAAAACATGTTTGGATGCTTAATGTTTGCTAGCACTAACAGCTCACTGCCATTTTACCAAAATAATTATATAATTAGGGTAAAATCAATTGAATCTCTCAACACTACATTTGATCGTTCTTCATGAAAAATCCCAGTTTTGTTTTCAGTATTTCTAAATTAAGTTTTGAACTGTTCTCTTTTACTCACTGACTGACTGATTCACCTCCAGTCTTGTCTTCTCCATCTCCATCCTCGTCAGTATCAGAATCAGCTCCACTCTTGCCTAGATATACACAATTTCAAACATGCAAGTTTAGGCACCTAGCACAATTAATGCTATATAGTTACCTTAACGATTAACTCTACTGAAATTTGAAACAGTTGAAACAGATGTTCTAAAGTCAGACGCAGACAGAAATAAAAAGCTTATTCACAAGACACCTGCTAACATGTGATTAACATTTTTCAGTTACACTGCATTATGAAAAAAAATTCCTCTTGCTACCGTAATATGATAGGCAATAAAAATAAAGCACAGGAGACATAAGTAGTAGAAGGAACTCTGTACTGTTCAGAATTCAACTGTTCCACTTAATTGAGAAGACAGTAACAAGTCTACAAATAAATTCTGGAGTCCTTAAAAACTAAGTGGAAGTCCAGTAAGATACTGAAACAATGGACCATCATATCCTTAATAAAACTGTATGAACTGTGTGCCTCAGCAGAGCAGAGACATGCACTAAGAATTCTTTAACTACCCTGAATAATCTAGTGCAACTGTTAATACTATTGATCTGGTACTGTGGTACACAAGACTTCCCTTGCAAAGAACCAGGAGGTAACTTAACATTAATTTACCCAAAGTAATGGATTCCAAACAGTGATTCCATATTCCTGGCTTTGTTTTACCACATTCAAGTCAAAACCTTTGTTCTTAGCTTGGGTGCTAAGGAAAGGAAGATTACACAGTCATGTTTTGAACACATCGCTAACACCTTCAGAGTTACTGGATGTTTTTACCCAAGATTACAAGGTCAAGACTAGCATATACATACACATATTCATACATACATAGCAGTACCTGGAAACACAGGCGCAGTTAAAGGCAGACTACTTTTGCTTTCCTTATTCTCTGTGTACAGTGGTGCCTAAAAGTTTCATTCATACCTTCAAGTATCTTCAACAGTTTTTTTTCTGACAACATCTCCAACTGCTCCAAGCAAAGCCTTTTGATTTCATCCATGGAACAGCTCTAAGAAGACAGACAGGCCACAGGCTAGTAAACATTTCTGAGGAAAGAATAATTACTAACGTTAAGTAGATCTCCAGCCCTACACAGTAATTCAGAATCTAAGTCTATTCACTGTTCTAACCTGCACTGATGCCACTACTGAAGAACATCAGGTAGCTGATTCCGGTGTAACTACCACCAAAAACAGTTGAGGATTTTCAGTTCATTTGTGTTTTGTTTAAAAATAAAATAAATCAAGCAATACACAGTATTAGTTAATTGATTATAGGGACTTATCACTGCAGCTGTAACACTGATCAGTAGAAATAATGGGACGGAGGTTTAAAGCATGGAAGAGCAAACCGACTGCAGCCCAGATCATTGGTATTTCTCTGTCATTCAGGAGGAGGTGAACTACATAATTAAGTCTGCAAAAACCAAAGCCAATTGTTGAATCCAAGTTCACAAATGGAAGTCAACAATGGTACTGAAAAAGCACCAAGAGGAATTATATATCACTGTTTACCATAAAAAAGAAGTCGTAAAAATACATAAATTGTGATTCACTTCTCATTCTTGATATCACACATTTATTTAGCTGGAATATCCATAGGCTACTTCCACACCTCTTGTACTTCTTGGTGTCCTCAATGTGAAATGATAATTTTGCATTTCTAAATGAGCTACAACACCATTTACATGTACCAAAATTAATCAGTGCTGAACATCTTATCTAACACACATGATTTTACTGTCAGTTTGATCCTAACACCATTGTGTAGTTTCCTTTCCACATCAGTTATGTCTTTGCATCTTGCCACACTACTTCTCTTCATCTCTCTCAGATAAGAAATGAATTACACTGCATGCAATTTACTAAGAGTTTAAAATGTCTGTCCTGCCTCACTTATACCAATAATGTGACTTACAGATTAAAATAAAAAGACAAAAATTGAAAACCTATTAGTTAACACTAAACTAAAATAGCACTTTGCTTGCAGCCTCTCTCTCTGTACAGATCGGTAGCATTTTGTATTTTCACCTGCCGTTCACAACAGTCATAAAGCATTCTAAGTTAACAGAATTCTACAGGTACTGCTATTAAGCCCCAGAAAAGTAACAGCTTCCAGGAGCTGTTTAACTAGAAGAGATTTTATGATTTTAAGAAATTTGGATAGTACAAACTCAAATCAAGCTTTTATTAACACATCAGAATACTTGCTACTGAACATGACTGAATTCATTCCATGCAATTAGAACTCCTTTTGCATATGAATAACAAGTACAGACAGGTACTATAAAAATAGCTACCCAGTTCAGTTATAGCAGCGTGGAAGAAAAGAGTAAGCTGTGGAACAACCACGTGAAATCTTTAAAAAGCCTTCCTTTCAAAGACCTGATGTAATCTTTATTTAAGAAATATATAGGCAAATTTTAAGCTGAAAGTCCACTACAGCTGAGAGAGAAATGTGTTTTGCTACATGAGCATTCAAGCTTCTGCAAAGCACACACAAAAAGGCATTTCAGTACCTTTAAAATGTCAGGCAGCATCTTCTGTAGTTTCTTCTCCCCTATGACACAGAAACACTGCTGAAGCATTTCCTTCTTGTCTGCAATGTAGAAACTGACTGGTTTGAGAGACACACTGAGATCTAATCCCCCTTCCTCTACATCACTGAGTTGCTCAGGTTCTTCTGTTTTTTCTCCAGATGGCACATTGCATTTTTCTTCCTGAAATCAAAAAGACAAGTACAGCTTTCACGTCTTCTAGAAACTCAATACTTCACCTGTGACAGTGACAGGTTTTTGCTTCACACCTGTAAGACACCTCGGAGTGGAATTCTGAGTTTTCAAACACCGTTTTAACTTCTGAAGCGTTACAAAAGATTTCAATAACCAAAAATGTTACCAAAAATTGCTGCGCTAAGTGAAACGGAGCAGCACGGCGACAACACAAAGAAACAAGCCTCTCTTCGCACTAACTCACAGGCTGTCACACAACTACAGGCATCGCCGCAAGAAAGGTCAGCCCGGACCTGCAACGAGACCACACGGGCCGCGCACAGACCAGCCCCGTCACAGAGCGGAACGCCTCAGAGGAAGAAAGGCACGGCGCGGATTCCTGCCCGCCTTCCCGCAGCCCCCGCCGTGCTGCCCGTCACCTCCAGCGCAGCGCGGCCTGTCTCGGCGCTCCGCCGCTTCCTGTCGCCGCCCGCGGCTCCCTCAGGGCAGCAGGAGCGGGAGCGCCGCCGCTTCTTCTCCTTCCGGCCCGGCATGGCCCCGCGCTCGCGCCTCGGGCGGCCGCGGTCCGACCGCCCCGGCCCGGCCCTGCCGCTTCCGCCGCGCAGCCCGCCCTTTCCGGGGTGCCACCGCCCGCCCCGCTGCGTGAGCGCCTTCTCCTTCCGTTCCTCTGCGAGGCTTTTGGTGTCGGTGTGCCGGACGCCGGGCTGGATCTCTTAATACGCCGTTTCTTAGAGTTTCCAGAATGTGTTTATGGACAAATACTTTTGGTCTGTGAAATCAGGGCGGTTTTCACGTAACAGAACAAGACCACGATAACAAAATCAAAACACGAGTGTAGATTTCTTAGAATAAGGCTTGTACAAACAGTTACAGAGTACATGTGGAAGCTGGAGGGTCAAGAACAATTATATACAGGCACCTGAACTCACTGAAGTATTCTAGGATGGATTCCTGGGGGTGGTTTGATCTATTGGTAAACTATTTAAATCCTGTATAATGTCATGGTCTGTCTTGTACTTGCACCCACAATCGATCAGGTGAGAGAGACAGTGATGAAGGCCCTGATGAGGCTGTTTGTGATTGTATGTATCTGAAAATTCATCAGAATTGCAGCAGGATGTGTGCAGCTATGGAGCTGAGTATGTATACTCATCTGACAAACAAGTTTGCTGGAAACAACGCAGTTGAACTGAGAAAGAGCAGAAGAAATGAGAGCTCTTGGTCGCAAAATCTGGCATAGATGATGCAGACATATATTGTGATGAAAAACTCCTGTGCCAGAAAAACTTGACCTTTTTTTAATGATTTCCATTCTGGTAATATAATTACTTATTTTAAAGTCACACTGAACTTTGGCCATCCTAGCTCTGAACAACAGTGGCACATCTGTGGCAGTTCTGCACTTTTTCATTCCCCAGCAGACACAGGGTAACAGAACTATCACTAGGATCTATGAAGATGATTAGTGGCCTGACAAATCTCCTGTATGAGGAAAGGCAGAGACCTGGCTCTCTTCACCCTGGAGGAGATAAGAATGAAGAAAGATCCTGTCAATGCTTACAGATATCTAAAGGGCAGATATATAAGAGTTTTGGGGCCAGGCTCTTTTCATAGGTGAGCAGGGCAACAAGATTAAGGGCAGCAAGAAAACGTTGGAAAGCAGGATGTTCCACACAAACACAAGGAAGAACTTACAAATTCCCCTTTTCAAAGACACCACAGTGATTTTTATGAAACCACTTCATAAAATTTGACTTCACTGGTGTCAGCTATTGCCTATCACATTATTTGCATTCAAGTTTCTCCCCCATTCTCTTCAAATAGTCTCATTTTCTTTTTTTTTATCATCTAACGCATTCTAACATGTTTCAAAGTAAGAGTTTGCTATAAATCAGTACAAGAAAAGTTAAAATAATCTAAGAAGCTTGTTTAAGCAATTTTGCAAACTGAAACATTGCCTATATAGCAGTTCAAGATTCCACTCCTCAAAAAGTCACTTAATTCTAGATTAAAAAAAAACAAAAAACAAAAAAACAAACAAACAACAACAACAAAAAAAAAAACAGGAAAAGATAGAAGATACCGAAGTTTTAAAAGAAGTGGAAAAAAGATGCTGGAAATCATGTGAACATTACTTCCTTACTATCATATTTGACCAGTTAGTATAGTCAATGTTAATCAACAAGTTGGTGAAAAGCACTGTTCAACAAACCCTCTATCACCCTTTCTCTGCTGGCAAACAGCATGGTCAAGAAATGGTCATTGCACTGAAATGTGGAAACATGGTTGGTTGGGCAAGCGAGCTGGCATCTCTGGATCACAGCCATTTCTTACATTTCTGTCTAGATAACGTTTAGGGAATGAGACTTTTTGATTTGGTGATCTACTTTGACCTGAGCTACAACAGAACGGCTTTCTGAAACAACTCTGCATAGTAGACTTCAGAAAAGTAGTCAAGTGAAGAGAGTGAAAAGTTTTATTTGCTCTGTAATTCACAACAAATCAAGTTTAAGTCATCCACAGTATTTTCTCCATTAAATTCTGTCACAAAATATGAACAAAAGCGTATGTTCTTCTGTATATGGTGTGTTGCTCAAGTGCTATGTAAAACAACTACAACAGATTAAGAACAAACCTACAGCATTCCTTTACTTTAGCTGGTTCTGACACAGAGACATACTTCTTTATTTGAGAGTCAACTCCAAGAGACTTAGCTAATTGCACAGCATTTTTATCATCACTGATTAGTGTTCCCAGAGCCACAAGGAGTCTAAAAACAGCTTCAAGATCTTTAACAACTTCCATAACTGTACTGATAACTGATAAACATTGAGCTTTGCCCTCAATGTCGTTCACTTTATGTAAACATACAGCATAGTTCAATGTCAGTGTTGCAAGTGCAATGTGGACATTCTTATTATTGCCTGATTTCACTTCTATTGCTTGTGTCATTATTTCATCCCTCTGTTCCATCAGAAGCTTCTGGCCTGCTTGGCTGACAAAGCAATTGCAAAGAGCTCTAAGTGCCAACAGCTGGTTCGCTGGCTTTCCTTGAGGGTTCAGAAATTTGAGGAGGAGATGGATAAATTGCACATGAGCCTCTTCACCACAGAAGTTCTCATTCACAATGGGATGCCTCACAGACAATCTAAGAATGTCAAGGGCTGGGAAGACAATATCTAAGAAACAAGAAAAATACATTTTAGTATTAAATTTGCATTAGGTGTGAACATGCTGGTGAGTTTGCTTCAGTAGCAGATGCTTTTAGATCTCTAACTTTGGGAACACACTAACAATTTAATATAGAAACAAAGCCATTAATGACAAATATATATATATGCTGCTTAAGTTAAGATAGACTCCACAGAGTTTCTCAAAGCTTCTCAGCGACTGAATACGCAGATACCATCACCATTTGTCTTCATGTTGTATCTTAGAGTTTAGTATAGATACACAACTGATGGCAGGAAAAGCAAGGTTGTTTTTAGGCCAACTTCAACTCTCAGACATAGTTTAGAAAAAAATAAAATACATTCAACTGATTAGCTGGGTATCACCATAAGGAACCCATATTTACAGTTTGTTCAGTACTCCCCTCTCAACTTCCCTAAATTTCAAATATATTTGGCTCCTAAGGTCTGTTGCCAGTATCCTAAGCTTACACCCATATCAAGGAAACTGAACCGGCTTAGCAACTCACTGAGCATTTTTTCCCCACGGATATCCAGGACCTGTAAAAATGGGTTCTGTCTGGGTTATAAACTCTTTGGGACAGACCAGCACTAACAAGAGTTCTGGTTCATAGTGAAGTACTGATGAGACAACAGTATAAAAAAATAATTGCAAATGTCTACCTTCCGGCCAGTTAATTGCTTTCCATAAAGTTTGGATTTGTTGTGCTGTAGGCATTTCTGCAGAGGTACTGCATGTTGCAGACAGTAACTTTTCTAGGATTATCAAGTCATCTTCTGTAAGTTTTTGTTCTTCAGCAGCACTGCTATTAAGTTCCTTTAGTTTACCTGTAAAACCAATTTAAGAGGTATGATTTTCAACTTAACAAAACTCTTTACAAAAAACTGGATTTGCAGTACTTTACTGAAGTTATGCTGTGATCATTTAAAAACGTTACTTCTTACAATTTCAGGTTTCTAATTTCGATCATCATAACAAATATTACTATCAAGCCTCCTTAATACTACAATTCTGATTCAGAATTCACATTTTAGCCTATGTGCAGGTAAAGATGCAGAAGAAATGAAAAATATTTGAATAAAATAATTCTAATCTGGGGATGTTTGAACCAGATATTGTATTTTCCTACAGCGTGAATACAAACTGGTTTTTACAAAACTGATTACTGCATTAAGGCACTCCACAAGAACACACTGCAAAAAAAAAAAAACCTGGAGACAAGTAGAGATTCTGTGAAATAGTTACACCGCAGAACAAGAACACGGATGGATAAACAGAAAGAAAAAAGACAACAGCAACATTCATCAAAAGTGTGTATTACTACTAAATACTATGTATCATTTTCTGTAATGTGAAATATTCTGATTAAACATAGAATAGACCACTTGACTCTATGAAACTACAGAATGCCTTCAACATAGCACAGATTACACTGTATGAGTGTCTAGTGCTTTTAAACTTTCATAAGCAAAACTGGAAAGGGATTGCATATGACCCACATATCCAGCAGCTAAGAGAAAAAAATCTCAGTGCTCAGATGTACCAGCTTTGTAAACAAAGCACTGAACAAAAGCAGACAGCAGGAGAAAGAAAAAAACTAGATAATTTGCATTAGATAGGAAGGGGAGTAAACTTCAGAAGAATTCCTAAGCCTCTTAATACATTCACCATTAAAGCAATTACTTTAATTTTAAAAGGTCAAAACTGAGAAAGAGCAGGAAAACGATTGGAAATATTTACATTTTTGAAGGGAAAAAGAAAGTTATTTCTTTTAAACAGATGAAAAAAATATCCTTGAAATTAAAATACTGACCCAAAATCTGTGTAGGATTGGCCTGGTCAAAGGTGACAGCATCCTTCTTAGGAAAATAAATGTTTTCAGTTTTAGCTGATTGGTAGGCACCCATTCCTACATAAACAAAAAACGAGAAGTTTAACAGCCTACCAAAGCACCTGATACAGATTATTACCCTACCAGTAAGACTTTCACACTGTTCACCACTCATATTTTTTCTTTTAATAAAAACCTTAATGCTTAAGCAATAGCTGTCTTTCTTTACATTGTTTTTATGCACATTTTATGTGCAAGGGTTAAAACCTAAAGCAAGCTGTTCTTCCCTCTGTGAAGAATTTGTTAAGTACAAATTTTTATGTGATATCCGAATTACACTGAAACAAAAATACAGTCATAAGAATTGATACTGTAATTAAGGCATAAAAACTCTCTGGCCTTAGAATAAAAGCTTCTCCTGCTCCTCATTATTTTCATAATAAATAGGCAGTGATCTATATCTGCAGATATGACAAAGTTACATTACATGCAAGAGTAAACCAACATCACAATTTTAATAAAAAGCTTTATGATTTTCTAGAATCACAGATGAATTGGTAGATTACATTGTATAATTACCACTAAAACTGCATATATTTATTTCTTTGTGCAACAGCTACTAGCATACCAGAAATCTTATCAATAAGCAGATTCCTAATGTATATTACAAAGCTTCTGTCCATGTGGCATTACAACATGGAAGTCACTCCAAAAGGAATGGTTAGTGTTTATTTCCGTGAAAACTATAACAGATGCAAAGAGCATAAGAACACTGTTTGATAGCGCAAATTCTCAGCAACAAAACACTCTTTTTCAACATAGCTACCACCACTGACTATGCAATTTAGTCACTGATGAACAAGAGTCTGCAGACTGCACTCATACAAATCTGC